GGAGAAAAACTTAGTGTCTAGAAAGAGGAAGGATATATGAAATTCAAGAGTGGAGGGAATATGAAGTTTGTACAGTTGGGAGTTTGAATCTACGGATTGAAAGTCTGTGTAGTTGAACACCTGGGGAGTGGTGGCTAGGCATATTGATTTGCTATTTATTCACTGTCATGCTCTTTTTGGCACCCAAATTTATCCAGTTACATGCATTCAGTGAAGTGTTTTCTTCACTTTCTGTTGAGACTCTGATGAAGCAGAAACTGCTTTCTGGTGTGTGCAGGTATGTCCCTGATGTACTGATGGCTGTGAACTGATCTAAAATGCCTACTATATCTACTGTGAGGAATATATTTACTTTTCTGAAGTGATGTCCATTATGAAGACAAAAATACCAAGCACAAGAATAGCCTTCTTCTTAATCCAGAGAATAAGTGCTTTGCGTGTGACTGGCATGAGCTATCCCTCAGAATTTAGGGATGGAATGTCAACTAAATAATAAATTCAGAGGCTCACTTCTGCTATCCTCAGAGTCCAAACAATGTTTTTCTTTCCTACGTGAACTTCTAGTTCAAAGGGCAAATAGGGCACTTGCATTCATGTGGGCTTCCCCCTGCATTCTGAAGAAGATTCTGCCACAGCTTCTTTGTCTGCAAGCTGTCTGCCCAACAGAAATGTCATTTCAGTTGCACCTAAGTGTTATGCAGTTGCTTTTGTGGATGTAAATAAATAACAGAGTGGCTAAAGATATATTTATCTTCCCATGTTCCAAAGGAGTTCAGTAGATACCAAACTCCAAACCACAAGAGCAGACTGAGTACTCTAGTTCCGTCTTTCATAAGTATAGAATTCATACTAAAATCTGATATAGCTTGGATCTCCTAGCTGTATGAGGGCCTCCAATTCAGTTGGTGGTCATCATTTTCATTTTGCAAACAGAATATCCAGGAATCCTAGGATTTATAACCTTTTATGTGCAGGTATTCATTTAGACCAAGAAATTTCATCAGTTTGAAAAATCTCACTTTAGATACTAATCAATTTCAATCCAGAAAAGAATAAAATAGCCTGATTACTAACATCCCACAGAAATGAGGTAAAAGACCCAGAACATCAGAACTAGGACGATGTTCACTAGTGGAGGTGGGAGGTCTATGCTGAATATGCTGGGAAAACAGATCATAAAGGCTGCTTTTCTGTTCCGAATATATATATATATATATATTATTATCCTTCTTGACTAGTTCAGTATTTCAGCTAAAGCTGGAATATGCCTTGTTTCCATATGGTGCATACATACGTGGTGTCCTAGAATTAAATAGTGCAAATAGCACAGCTACAGAGATAAATGTGAAATCCCGAGGAGCCAGTGACAAAGGAAAGCAGCCAAGAGACAAGAACATTTTGGGGAGAAGGGGGGAGAAAACCTCTTTACAGCTCAGAATCTTTGGAACTGATGCCAGTGCAAAGCAAGTTGCAGGTCATTTTTTTAATCCACTTCTCATGCATTAAAAAAAAAAAAAAGATAATCCATATCTCTCTATGAATCTGGCTTTCCTTTCCCTTTCACTCACTCATTCTTGCACATCCTTTGGGGCAAGAGGGAAGGCTCTGCAGGAAAATAGGCCATCCTCTTGGCATAGTGTGAAAGAATTGAGTGGGGCAGCTTGCTCAGCTCGCATGGTGCAGGAGAGAGGGCTTGGGAGTACGATTCTGCATGGCAGCCCCATGTATGGCAGTTAGATTTGTATCAGCGAGGCACGACAGGTCTGCCCTTGAGATTCTCTTGTGGCGTGGTGCCAGCTGTTCGCCACACTGATCTGTTTCTCTCCAGAGCAAAATCACAACCTGCTGCCGCAGTTCAGCTCTGGGTCAGACCCACGGCCAGGTTTATAGTGGATTTGCTGTTGTTTCTTTGTTGGTTTGGGGTTGGTTTGCTTTTTGTTTGTCATTTTTATATATTTCTTTTTTGGAAGTTTGAAATCGTATAAGGAGAATTGCCTTCCTGACAATTCAGCCCAAAGTATTACCATCACTGCTACACGTACCTAAAAGAGCTGCAGGATTTTGGTATCTTGAATAAACCTGCTTGACCTTGACTATGGATCGGAAATTATAACTATAGGCTTGAGTTTGGCTCAATTCACAATCTGAGAAACAAAACCACACAGCTCCTTTTAATTTAGGCAAGTGTTATTTGCTTCTGCAAGAAAAGATTCTGCCATGTGGTTCACCGGGATTTCATTCATCTTTATTGATGGCATTTCACTTAATTTGCTGCCATTTGAGAGCCCTACAGGCAAAGGGGAGAAGAAAAGAGGGAAGTAGGGGTAAAAATAGGAGAGGGAGTTGCTAGAAAAACCTGCCACCACTTTTGTATCCGTGCATTTTAAAAATCTCTGTGCAAATAGCTATGAAGTGAAAGAACACAGATGATCCCAAAGGGAGCACAGCCAGGATGTGTCCTAAAATGAGTGTGTTCCTACTGTAAGGCAGAGGAGATTTTAAAATCTCATCCAAGGTCTGGCAAAATGATGTTGTCCTTCCCTCTCTGCTTGGCGCTGTGCTGGGTCTTGTAGGGATACAGAGCTGGAGCAGCTGGTTGAATTTAACTCCTATAATATTTGAAGAATTAGTCCAGAGGTACAGCCTGGCTTTACCCTAGCCTGGGATTGCTGATTAGCCCAGTGCTACAGAGGAAAGGGTACAAACCCCAAGGTATGCTGCTGTGCCTCCCATCTCTGTCTTTGACAGAGATGCCTGAAGTCCTGGAGCAGTATTTTTTTTCTGGTGTTTTTATTAGTGAAAGAAGTGTATGCATATATATTTTTTTTCACTCTGCTCAGACTTAGGATGTCTTTTTATGGATGTTTAATCTGAACCAGTACGACCATTAGTAAATAATATATTTCTGATACCATAACAACATATAATGCATTTTAAAAATCTAACCCAAATGTCACTCGGGGAGAAAATATATGGAACGTAAAAGTGTAACAAAATCATGAAAGAAATGGCTTTTTTTTCTGTCAGATTTGAGCTTCCCACCTTAGCATTTGTCAGAAGGTTTCATTCCACACTAAGGGACAAGGATGAATAGAAACTTCTGACCGAATTTTTCTGGAGCAGTCACTGTTTTACATATCCCTGTCTTCAAAGAGGGGAAGGTAGTTAAGAGGAGAACAAGGCAGGCAGAAATGAACAGCTTTGTTTTACTGTATGAATGAAGCCCTATAATGTGCAGGCAGGGTAAAGAAACCCACTGGCTTTTATTCCTGTAGATTTAAAGCACTCTTGGCTTTCTTCATGCTTGAATTTGGTCTTTAAAACAAGGCAACTTCAAAGGCTTTTATAAATTTCTTCAGAGCCCTTTTATTCTGCAGTGAGCCAGCTAAGGCACACAGAAATATCTGTTGTGTTTGTGACAGGGATGGTATGTGAGAGAACCTGCCTTCCAGGGAATTCCCTATCTTGGTATCTCTAAATAATCCATACCCACCCAGACAGGAAATGTCTTTTTTCTTTTTATTTTTTTTTTTAAATGCAAACTCAATATTTTTCTATGACTTGCTCCATTATTTATTCTGGACTGGCTTTTCAATTTGCAATGCCCTGAGCAAGTGTGGTGCCTGCCTTGAGCTACCAGAGGGGGAATCTGGCTGTGAATTGCTTCCCCATCTGTCATGGACTGAGCAAGGAAGATCCATACTGGCAGGGAGGGGGTATTTTTCCTCCCCCTTCCTCTTGGTTCTGCTGCCAGTAGGGAAAACTGGAAGTGGCCCATGAGTTCTGAAGTTAATATAGGGCCACGGAGCTGGAGACCCCCAGATTGCAGAGCTCAAAGTGCTTGCACCCCCCTTGGTTGCCTGCTAAATGCATCCTGACATGCATCTCCTTCCCTCAGTGCAAAACTTTACAGCTGCCTCCTCGCTTTGCCTGCAGCCCATGTGGAATGCACTCTGCTCCAGCCCAGCACCACAGCCCTAAGTTGCCAAAGTTATGGCCTGCTGTAGTTGGGCTTTGAGATGCAGCCTGCTGTTTGGCAGGAGGACATATCCCCCTCCTCCCCCATGTTTTTTCCTACTCTCTTTCCCCATGCCTCTCTCCTATTCAGTGCAAAGAGACCAGGGATATTTTTGACCCAGCACTCATACTCATCACCAGATAAAGAACTGCTGCTTAGTTCTTCCCAGCCCTGACACTAAATGATGGGATAATCCTGAGCCAATCTCATGAACCACGGCTCAAAACTATGCTTCCAGAAGGCCTGTTAGGGGCTTGACATTTACATCTAGAGAAGATGATGGCTGAGCAAAACTGCATGTCCAGTTTTTCTCCTGCATGAGCACATTCAGACCACGATCCAAGTGTTGGAACTTTGGGTCTGGTCTCTTGAGAAGAGAGAGACTCCAGATGGCTGTCGTCCTAAAGGAGAAGCAATGTGTGACAAGACACATGTGAAATTAGACAAGTTATAACGTCCCCTCTTTGTCAAGCTGTCTCTCGAATGAGGGTCTGAGGTTCGTGTGATGCAAACATGTTGAGGCCCCAGCTGTGATGCAACCCAGGGTCTCTAACTTGAAAGTGGAACTTACACTTTCCAAGTATTTTTAAAGAGGGATTCCCTACTCTGTCACAGTGTAGCATTTCGGTACTTTTTGCTCTTTGTTAACAAAGGCTGAGTTTGGCTGTGTTCAGGGCAGCCTGTGACCTGTGTGTGCACTCAGAGCCTTGTCCATATGAAATGGAGAATCTGTGTTTCGTTGAGCTATAAAGTTACCTTCTTCCCCTAATCTGTGTTTCATTTAACACACAGCATACAGCTGTGCTGTTTTGGGTCTGGTTTGCTGTGTGGCTGATGTAAAGTAGAGCGAAGCTTGCCTTGATAAATCATGATTTCCATCTCCAGGCTCAAGCGTGATAGGGGAGCAGGGCAGAAAGCTGAATAGACAAGACCAAAGGCAACTGTATACTGTGAAATAATAAGTATCAGGCAAAATACAGCATCACAGCTAATAGATGTATTTTAAAAGTGGAAACATCTATGTTTAATTGCATTTAAAATACGTAGTGAGAAACCACAGTTATACATCGTTATAACAAACCTTTACATCTGAAGTCAGAATAATACAAAAAAGTGCTGATTATATATGGTCAAAATAACTGAGGCAAAATTTCAACAACATCTTCTAAAATATTAGCATGTGGCCCCTGCCAACAACACTCTAAAGGCCAGGTTGAATAATTTCAGTGACAGTCATTGCTTTTTTTTTTTGTTATCTTACCCAAAAACAACCACCAGAAAATCTGTTTTGTTTTTTTTTTTTTTGTATGTGTTTTTTGCATAGCTTTCAATATTGCTGCTCTCTCACCTCTGCATTTTGCAAGCCCATCTCAGTTCTGAGAATTTCTTTAAAGTTCTGAATATTTTTAAACCCTTCAAATACATAATATATAATTTCTACCAATTATAAATACATCATTTTTATTCATCTGATTTCAATAACATGCATTTGTATAATTACTGTACAATCAAAATAGACACTGACTTTACACAGTGTGTATGCTTTTATTTCGGCGGTGCTGTTCAGACACACTGCTCAACAAATCAAGCAAGTAGGGGGGTAAGAAAAAAAGGAAGGAGGAAATAAGCTCTGGGAAGAAACATAATTTCACAGTGTTTACAGACAAAAAAAAACAAACAAACAAAAAAAAAAAACCAACAAAAAAAAAAGGAAAAATGCTTATTGGGAAAGGGATTTATTAATACATAGAAAATCCCCACAATAGTTGAAACACACTTTAGAAACTAGTAAACACGTTAAATAGAGTTGTGCCAATTACGCAGTGCCCAAGCATCTGCTCGCTCTTAATTAGATGGGGAGGTGAATGACCACTGTTTATTTTCATTTTCCTCATTAATTATGAAAAACTGCATTTAATTCATCTTGCATGGTGAGAGACTGGCTGCGCAGATGTAAGTCGTAAGGGAAGTGGCTCTCTGTAGGCAACCTGAACATCGAGCTCTGCCCAAGGGGACCCCTGGGTGGCACTGCACAGTAATGCATGCCGTAATTGTAATTTTTGCCATAGTCCAAGCTTTCTTCTTGCTTCAGGGAAAATATCCCATTATAGTTAATTGGGGGAGGACTTAAGGGACCTTCAAACTGTGGGCTGGCACACTCGGGGGAAGTACTCTCGTAGAAGGACTCATACGCACTGCAGTAGTTGTAGGGTTTCATGGACTTGGAGTTGTCGAGAGTCCCGTGCCCTGGGGGGGTGCCAAGCTCAGGGCTGTGGTAGGGGGGGTAGAAAGTAGAATAAGGCGAGCGGGCATGGTGGGCACCTTCACCTGCCTGGCCCATCAGGAAGCTTCGGGCATTCAGCTGCAGGCATCCCGCCACCAAGTTTGTCGTTGGCTGGGACAGACCCTTGCACAAGTTCTGGACAAAGGTGAGCAGGTCAGGTCTCTTGCCAATTCGCAGAATTTCGGAAAGAGCCCAAATGTAGTTCTTGGCTAGTCTCAACGTTTCAATTTTTGACAGTTTTTGTGTTTTAGAATAGCAAGGGACCACTTTCCTTAAATTGTCCAGAGCGTCGTTAAGGCCGTGCATCCGGTTCCTCTCACGCGCGTTGGCTTCTTGTCGCCTGAATTTGATCCTTTCCATCCTGATCTTGCTTGTCTTTTTTTTCCGAAGGCCTCTTCTCCTGGGCAAGCCGTTCTCATCCTCCTCCTCCCTCTCTTCCTCTTCCTCCTCTTTCTCTGTATCTTCTCCAGGAGACCTTTTAATATTCTTCCCTCGGAGTATGATCTGCTTCGAAAAGCTTTCCGGGTTCTTTATTTGCTTTTGGTCATCGCTTTCTCTGGAAAACTTTCTGCACATCTGGGATTCTGGCATTACAACAGACTCATCAAACGGTAGTGTTAGCATGGTTCTATAATCTTAAGTTACCTGAAAGAGGGCCAGCACAATATTTAAATATTTCCATTTACAAAGTTTGCCGAATTACACACCCGTTCTCATGCACCTTGCATTTGTCTGTATGTGCTCTGTACATACAGGAGTGTGTGTGTATAAATGAACGATCTATGCTTTTTTCTCATAACGTATCAATTGCAAATGCTTGCTTATTAAAAATCAAGTGCTGTCCAGAATTTTAAAATAAACTGAAAAGCTCAGGATCTCACAACTTAACTCTCCTACAGTTAATACAGAGTACACCAATATTTAAAACATATGATTAGCTCCCTGCTCGTTTGTCTTATTTTTAAACAAGCCCTTTGAACCCTCACCACCATGGAACTCAAAGAAATGCAAAACATGATAAAGCAACACATAAATTTCATTACTACAAATTCCCCTGGGTGGAAAAAAAAAAAAAAAAAAAAGATCAAGTGCAGTCCTAAAACTGAGAAGTACCATATCTTTATTACACTAAACGTTTCAGGATCACTTTTTGACTTAGATTTCCGAGTTTTTGTCCCTCCACATTTCCCTCTTTCTGAATCAAGATATTAAACTCTCGCAAGTTAGACTGGGTGAAAAAAAATATATTAATGGAACTCACCCCAAATTTCTCAGCTAGTAACATTAAAAAATATATATATATATTTTTATTTCTAATAATTTCTATGAAAATTGCACATTGCATATTTCACTGCAAGACAAAAATCAGGAAGGATCAAACCCTGAACATATTCAGGTTAGAGTTAGGAAATAATATCTCCCTACCTTTTTTTTTTTTTTTTTTTTTTTTCTTTTTCCCAGCAAAAATTCTAAATCTTATTTTGCATTTACCTTGAATGAACTTATCTGCTCATTTTCTTTTCCTTTTCTTTTTTTAATTTAGTCTTTTTGTTTTTTTCCTCCTGCCCCAAAAATTAGAGAGGGAAATATTTCCCTGCACGCTGTAGCAGTGTTTATGTTCAGTGAGGCTCAGGCGTCTCCCCAGCCCCTGGCTGACAGCAGCGGGCTCTGGGCTCTGGCTGCAGTCGTGCACGTGTGCTCGCAACCCAAGCTGAGACAGGGAAATAATTCCCCCCCCTTCTGATTATTTCTGCTTTTGTTTTCAGTTTGGGAGCCGTAAATGCTTGGACACACTGTCCTCCAAGAGACAAAACGAATGCACGGACTTTTAAATAGAATAAAACTAAACAAAAACCCCAGTAAAAGATTAAGTCCAGCAGTATTGTCTACACACTTGCAACATTACATAACACCAACAAAAGTAAGCAATTGCATCAGAAGAATAAAATGTTAGCAGGAGTTATCAGACAGTTAATAGCATACATAAAATACAAGACAATGATACTGTATCTTTAAACACTTGCATGCACACCCAACACCAACTGAAATATATCTTTATTTGCATTACCTTAGCTTTTTATTTCATTCAACAATCAGTTTTCATTTTTTGCCTTCCAAATCTTTTCAGTCTGAGTGTCGCATCGTCTCCTGGAGCCTAGATCTGTGTATATCTGCACTATCTCATTGATCTCTAAAAAGTGACATTGATGCCAACTGCCAGAGCTGGTACCCATGCCATCTGCTAGTGACGTCACGGGGCAGAGAAAACCACGTGAGCCTTTCTCCTGGGACCTTCATTCTGCACTGATCATCTGGCATCCCTCTAAGTGGGTACCAGCATTCATGTATCAACACAGAAGGTTAGACTGATAGAAAAAAAAAAAAAATCTGCGCCAGCGTTGCACATACAGTAGGTGCTTTTCCACTGGAGCTGCTTCTTTCTAGCAGTCTAGCTGCACGGATAGACGTGCCAACATTTGGTGCTATCCCTGCCTACAGGTACGGCTGCCCTGTAGTTGTTAATGTGGCATTGTTTATACAAAAAGTGCTGTCTTGTACTGATCGGATCCCTCTGGTGCACCTGGTACCCAGGAAAAAAAAAGGGGGGAGGGAAGGAAGGAATCAGGATGTAATATTGGTGCTATGGCAGAGTCACAGAAAGTGATGCTATTACAAGCGAATTTGGGGCGTGAGTTTTTTCTGTTGTGTTTTTTTTGTTTTGTTTTGTTTTGCTGTTTTAATGTCCATTCTTTCTTTTTTTTCCCTCATTTTCTTTCTTTCTTTTTCTCTTTCTTTCTTTCTGCCTTTCTTTCTTTCTTTCTTTCTTTCCGCCTTTCTTTCTGTTTATTTGCTTATTCATGTCTTTGCCGTTGAAGTACACTGTGTTGCCCCAGAATGCAGGCTAATAGCAGCAAATCCCCCACTGCCTCTAAGAAATCATGACTTTCATCATTTTTTGACCTTCCTCCACCATCCCCCCCCTCCAACAAAAAAAAAAAAAAAAAAAAAAAAAAAAAAGCAACAGAGGATGACTGAACACACGATGCCAAGGTTTCAGAAGTGTTGCTTTTTCTAGTGATGTGTGTTCGCCTGCACCTGCAGCAATTCATTCCTTGCACCCACCCTGGTGTGGGTAAGGATTTGGGGTGCTTGCAGTGTCCCCCTGTGATCTTAAGCCCCGGGGCTGGGCTTTAGGAGCATCCTCCCTCCTGATCGCTACATCCAGGTGCCCGTTTGCGGCTCTGTCCTCATGCCCTTTTCTCCCTCCGCCGCCTCCTCGCCTCCCATTTCGGCTCCCTTAACTCTTTTGTCTGTTCCCTTGGACAAGAAGCTGTTAACCAGAGCTGACAGAGCCACACGACTCAGCCCGGCCATGCAGCCGATGGCAAACTCCACTTTGATTTGGGTTTTATTGTTGCATTTTGTTTCCTTAGGTGTGCTGTGCTGCACAGAGGCGATGTCAAGCGAGTTGCAGGGGGGGATAGCATGTCATCTTCCTGAAAGTTTGCTTTTATTACCATGTCTCGCTGCTTTGTAGCGACTAAGTAATCTCTATTTTAAAAAGTGAGAGCCTGAGTATGCTTTTAGTATTAAAATAATCCCTGGCAGAGCTGCTATTGTTATAGGTCTGTGTCAGCATTTCCGTTATAAATCCTGTTTCTGAAGGGTTTATAACTCATCTGCTTTAATTCACATTGGGCCCAAGCTTGGCGTTAATGTTCTCAGTCCTGATCCAATTATTTTGTTTTCACAAAGTTTCATTTAAATCTGGGCACTTTTTTTTAATGCAGGAAAAAAAAAAAAGGAAAAAGAAAAAGAAAAAAAAAAAAGGGAATATTCGGCAGAATAAGGTGTGCTGAATACATCCATGTGTACGTGCTCAATAATTCTAGGGATCTGCACTAGAAAAAAAGAAATCCCTCCTCCAAACTTTGTGTTTGTGTATGTGTACTTACTTATTTTTAACAGAAGCCAGGACTATCAGATCATTCACTTTCTACAGAGCTCAGACCTCTTTTTAAAGATTATTTTTATTTTTTATGTGCTTTTAATTTTTAAATGTATTTAAAGCGAGGAAGATTCTAAAACTTCAGTGGCACCTGTTCAAAAGGAGTAAGGGCAGTAGTACTCACAACACTCATTTCATTTTATCCTAAATACTGCAATCTGTGTTACAGAGTGGGTAGAATCCTGTTATTCTCAATAGGAATTTATGTATTAAGATTTACATTGTGCAAGGTCCTAAGGGTTGTCAACCTTCTTAAGGATTTTGCATATTCAGAGTATTGTACAATGCACAGTAATCTAAATATGCAAAGTCCTGAGGATCTGAACCTTGTTTCAATGCATACTAAAAATATTAGAACAAATTGAAGGAAAGGTTGACATTGTAGTGCCTCTGTGTTGAGGGAAGAGCTGTAGAAATTTACAGCAATCTCCAAAAAATACTTTTATAAAAAAAATCTTCTCAATATTCTTTTTTAACCACTCAATTTCTATTTTAAAATCCATTTTTGAATGGTTAATACTGCTACCAAAAAAAAAAAAAAAAGAATTAGCTTGTGTTGGAGGATTCCCTCTGTAGTAGTAACATTACATTTTTGCAGATTCTTAATCCATCATTTGACCTTTTTAATATTTTCAAATAAATAGCGGAGAAACAAAATAACGGAGATATCAAGGTTTAAAAAGCTTTTACTGTGCATGCATAATAACTTTTCATAAGGATTTTACTGCGCGTTTTGTATTATGGATCCATGATATGCAAATGCCTACTGCCGTTAATATGCATTCATAGCAGACCCCATAACTGCTGCTTTGCTGTCTAGTGTGAATGCATGTTAAGAATAATACACAAAACACAGTTAAATGCACTCTGTAGAATGGCTGCACAGCACCAAATATGTTGCTGAACGCACACCACAATATTTTTCCTGTGCCTGAGCTGTATGGTTGTGAATTAAAAATGACTCTATTTCAAATGCAATGCCACGTCAATACACGAGACGCAGCATTAACAGAACCACTGAAATAAGATCGAGTTCAAAGGACTGCAGAACCTCCACAGAGCATCAGGGGGACTGACCCAACTGCACTGCAGTCCATGGGAGTCCTTCCAGTCATTTCAATCTGTTATCACCTTACCACCAGGGAATGTCTCTATCATTATTTTTTTTTTCCCTCTAAAATAAAGCAAAAAAACATCATGCTTTGCCATCCCATCAGATCTGCCAGTCACACTGTAGCAGGACTATGTCTGGATTATGCAATTCTTTCTAATGGTGTTTGCTCAGGACCAGTTTCTGATAGCTTTGCTGCTAGGTTTGGTGTGCTGTAGTCCATGCAATTCATTGATACTTGTGAGACCTTGTGGGCTGTTCAGCAGCAGGAGAGTTAACAAAATCTTTTTCTTCCCCCTGTCTCCTCTCCTTTCCCATGTAAGCACCAAGAGTGACAACAACCCTGCACCCCAGCTATGTGAAGTCCCAGTGACATCCTGCAATGAAAAGCTTTCTCTTCCTCACTCTCAGCCTGGAATCCCTTCCAGCACATCCCAGACATCTAGAGAGGACCAGAACTGGCCCTGAGATGATGTATAGGGATATGCCTCCTTCTCCCAGGAGAGATTAATGAAGACACTAATAACAATCCTGGATACAGAGAACTACAGAGGACTGGAGCAACGTGCATCACAATCCAGGGGTGACCCAACCCCACATCCCCAACACAACGCTGTAGGTTATGGATGCCTTTCTGTAGGGCTGTTTCCATCAATTCAGCTAAGCCCTCTCCCACCACCACTAAGACGATATACAGGGATATATGTACTTCTCCCAGGAGAGATTAAAGAAGACACTAATCAGGACCCCAGATTCAGGGAGCTAACCTACATTTGTCCAAGAGGATTCGGTTCAGTACGAAAATGTGATTTTAACCCATCAGCTAATTCTGCAGAATGTTATACTCGTGCTTTGCACTCCTTAAGCCCTCCATAATGAGGATGTGTTTCTTGCTCTAATCAGACATCCTTAGTTTTAGATTTTGAACAGGCTGTTAGAGATAAGTATGGAAGAGTTGTAGAGGGGTTAGTTACTTTATTTCAATAGGAGTTACTTGAATTTAGAATCTGAGCACTGAGTCTAATGCTAACTGCTTATGGTTAACTAAAACTGTGTGACCAGAAATTGTTCCAAGATTTCTGAAAGACGTGAATAGAATGGATCTGATTTAGATATGACATACATTTAGCATAATCCTATTAACTTTGATCTACTCTTAGCTTACACTATTATAAATGAGGAGAGAGAGAATTGAGCCAAATAATTTTAAGATGGAAAATGAAAATTATAAGAATTGAGACAAATGTGGTTAACTTTACTGCATTCCACCTAGCAAAGCAATGGCAGTGTACAGCCTGAAAGCTTTTTGACCAGGTCAAGAGGTGACATGCACCTTGCAGTAGTATGGGATTTAAGATAACTCTCTCCTTAGGGAAAGATGTTCCATTCAACTCAGTCAACTGTGTCACTTTTTCAAACTGCAGAGGGTTAAGGTCAATCCTATTGCTTTGTGGTGTGAGGGGGACCTCTGAGAAACAGACTGATTTTTGTTTGTTTGCTTTTCATTCACGCTTGGTGGCTGAGGTTGTCACACTTTCTGCTGCTCTACCTTGAGGATGCTGTGAGGTCAGTAAATACAACAGTCATTTGAGGGTACAGCAGGGACATTTGGCTATAATAAGCAGCCTGATGCTGCCAATCAGTGCTGACTCTTTAGTGGCAATCTCTGTCAAACAGCTAGTTAGCAATGCTGCTTTTTTTCTTCTCTTTCTTCTGCTGCTGCCTGCAGTGACTCACTCTCAAGCTTCTGTGTTTCCATTTTGAGGATGTCTTTGTCCCAGTAAAGCCTGATTTTCAAGACATACCTTGCAGCCAGAACCTCCCAGAAGAGGTGGTGTGGGTGTGCACAGCACCAGAAAAGACCCCCCATAAGAAATGCTTGATTGAAAACCCTACACTCTGTGCTGGTACTGGTGCA